GTTGGAGCAATCCAGGGTCCGTGTTCTTCCAGCGTCCTGCGTCCAACAGTGGCCAGCACCAGATGTTTCAGGAGCGAGGTACACGAAACTGCATAGCGAGCCGTGACGCAATAGCTTCCCCAAAGAAGAGGTCTGTCCATTTGAAACCCCACACACTTAGGGGCCGAGTTGTGCCTTCTGTTACGCAACAAGTGTATCTTGGGGCAGTGTTTAGGGGAGAATCGTGACATGTATTTAAGATGTATCTCCTAAATACTGTAGTCTGAAACCAACGCGTTTATCGAGAAGACTGTGCTGCTCTTAACAACTCTGGAGCTATGCCTGCCTGCCTTTGGCATCCTCTGTCACCCTGGTTTTAGGATCTGGTTTTCTGAGGCAAATACCAAAGATTAAGGACATTCTGTTCTGAGCTAATAAATAAGTAAAAAACCAAAACAAAACAACAAAAGACCCAAACCACACAAACTCAAGCTTTCCTTCCTGCTGCATTTTAGTCTCCCAAATCATCTCAGCTCACACTACCGTACATTTCCACACCATTCATAGCACTTGCACAAACACACGTTAAGTACAGCTCAAGAACAGGCTCCCAAGTTTCTACCTCACCACTGACAAAATTCACCCTTGAGGCTACGCATGAGCAAAGTCCTCTTTAAAAGCAGGTCCAGGGCTGATGTTGCACCAGAAGGTGACCTGCACCTCAGAGAAGTTTTGGAACACATGGAAAAGCCGTGTCCAGTGAAGCCAAGTCTACCAAGCGTTTCTGAGCTGCTACACCAAGCTAGCTACCAACATAAGCCATGCTCCCAAAAGCGGATGCTCTCCACACTACGCTGCTCTTTGTCAATATAGAAAAAAATATCCTCTATTTGGGTAAAGTAAAGTAAGAAACCTCTCCGTCTTATTTTCATCAAAGCTCATGATAAACTAATGCACGTAACATCCAGATGGCCTTGCATAGCATCTGAAGTTATTCCCTTTGGTCCCCAAACTCATCACGCACTTGGGACTGGAGGGGTTATTCAGCAGCCTACAGACAGGCAAATGCTACCCCATCCCAGTGACATCCTGAATATTCAAGTCCAGAGAGGACACGGACCTTTGCAGTCAGAAGCTCAACGGGGAAGTAGAGCTACAGCTGCGGATTTTGCTACACAATAAAAATTTGCCTGCCCTTTGATACTGTCTACCTCTTCACAACCCCCACCACGACAGCATCTCACACCCGATCCCAGCGTCTCCTTCTCCACTCTCAGTCCCTGTATACATGGCACATTTTCTGAAACTTTCCTAGTTACGACTCCCTTAGTGCAGGCAGAACAAAGTCGGTAAAAACTAGGCACTGGTGTTTTTCCACCACCACGCTGTCAAGACCTGACTTTCCAATAATAGAGGGATAATTTTTGGCCCAATATTCTTCATTACAAGTCCTACTACACGTAGTACACAAATGCTAGCGTGTTACACAGACTACAGTGCTGCGGATGTCATTGTAGGTACAGAAGATACCTCGCACCTTTCACCTAAAGAACTTGAATTACCTGATCCTTTCTCTGCTGCCTGGAGCTGCAAAAGCAGTTTATCCTCTGCTTTACTCAGAACTCCTATCCTTTCCAACTCACACCTTCAAACCGGACATGAATGCCGTAAGATAACATTTTTTGTTTCTGTTAAATGCAGAATTCCAGATTTTTGTTAGCTTTTTCCAGCAATTTCCAGCAGACGGTTCTTCTAGAGAAAACAGTCTCGTGATCTAAACTGAAATGAGTGACAGCTCTGGCTATCTGTAACCAAATGACCTGGTAGATTCTCTGCAAGAGAGCGAACCGCCCTTATTTTTGCACATCACCACAAAGCATCAAATGGATTTCCACCTGCCAGGAACTATTCCACATTCTTTCTTACCTGTGAATTTTTTTTCTCTGGGAAAATGCTTCCCCTTATTTTCATCTGATTACTGCACTGCAGGGAAGGGGGGGAACTCACGACTTTAAAGGCAAAGAAAGAAGTTCCTTACTAAGTTATGTTCCCACAGAAAACTGCATTCAGGCCATTCTGATGCTTAAAGCAGGAATTAAGAGCTGAGAAAGAGGGTCTGTACCCGCTTTAGCTAGTGGAGTTAGCACAGTACGTTAGATGGGACTGGGATGGATCAGAGCAAGAGAGAGAGCCATCAGTCAGCAACCGTCCAGGACACAGTCGTTCCCAAGGTACTCCGAAGTTTCCAGCTCTACGCTGGAGAGGAACCGCCGCGTGGTCTTACGACAGTTGTAATCCAGCGTGGTGGTGTACACAGTCTTGGCGTGCTTCGGGTAGACGATGGTGGTGCTGGTGAAACGCTGGGGCTTGTTGCGGGGCTCGAAGTGGACCTCCGCTTTGTAATTGCGCCACGTGCAGTTTGGGACGCAGATGACCGTCTGACTGCAAGAGGAAATGCTTAAGCCCACTGGCATATAGATGTCATCGATGAAGTGCTTCTCCGAGTCGTATTTAACTGAGGATGTGTACCTGAAACACAAGAGACACGTGAGTGAGCTCTGCTCTGGAGTAGCAGGCTGCATTTTCCGAAATACAGAGCCATCAGGTACCGGGACGGCTCCTCGACCCTGAGGTGGCACCGGCCACCTCAACAGCCACAAAACGCAAACACTGCCTGCGTGTCCCACTCACTCATTTAAGGAAAAACCCTTACGTTAGCAGCACCCTGGCACTGTTGCTGTTTTGTCCAGCTTCCAGCACTACCAAACACCTTCTCGATCCTCGTGTCCATCGTTTTAAGCCTGAGCTCTACGAAGCTAAGAACCTCCTTCAAACCCCAGCGCCTAAACCCAGAGGCCTAGATCCACGTTTAGGTTTTGCACATAAGCATCCTAATTCCTTTGAGTGCCAAGTCTGTGGAAGCACACGTTATTTTCTCAATTCTCCACTGCCAAGAGTCACACAGGAGTTCTCTGCTATCGCTCCCGGCATGGGGCACTCTCTGAAGATTCAACTGGCAGGAAAATACTACAATTTGCACATCAGACTCTGCTGGCAAGAAAATCCTCTGTGCCTGGATTGCAAAAGAAAGCTTTCCTCTCCTTCCCACTGCGACAACATTGTGTTAGGTTCTTCACGGTGCTAACTGCCTTCGATTCCAGCCACGGGGCGGGCTCCTTCCCCAGGATGCCAGGGCATCCAGCGCTTTCTGCCCTTCCCCGCATTAGGCTTCCGTTTCATTCTACCAGTCTACCTCGGCTTGCACAGTAATCAACTGGGAGCCTTCATTGCTCATTACTGCCAATCACGATGTTCAAATGAATAATTCACAGGCTGCGAAGTGATACAGCACATTAAAGAAATAATTACGCGCTCTCTTAATATTAACTTTTCTTTTAGTTCACACAACCAGCCACAGCTGATAAGATAGAAAGTACTTATTACAAACCCATGAGGTTAGGAGAGCAAAAATTCCTTTCTCCTAATAAAACAGTGCTAGAAAGATGGCTGCTTTGAAGACCTTCCCACACGATTACCTTCTGGTCAATCAGCTGAAAGGCAACGTTTTGGAGCAGTGCAATGAAGTATAAGCAGGAGAGTAAAATACAGGAAAGTCTTCCTGGAAAAAAACCATATGGGATTAAAAGATGCTGAATGCTCCTTCAGCCTGTACAAACGTCCAGGTCCAGGAATGTACAGCTGCATGGAATAATAGCTCTGCAAATAAATTAACCTGACTCACAGGCACTGATAAGGCCTAACTACTCCTCTACACGCTAACTCCTTCAAAACTAGATGACTGTAACGCAGTATTTACCTTATTTCCTTTGGTGGTAAAGGGTCAAACTCAACTCCTTCGCCAAAGGATAAAGGACACAATCTTGGAGGGCAGCTGGGGAGAACAGGGCTGGGAGAGAACACAGAATTCTGCAAAAAATGTGAAAATAATTCCGTTAATGTCACAATTCGGTCTATTCTCAAGCAAATGCATTTATTTAGCCGCTGGTAGAGAGCTGTCGAGGTTCACGTTTACGTGCAGGAGGATCTGCTAGCCCGAGACATGCCCGCAGGTGCAACCCGCAGGTCTGACTTGACACTGGTCTACAGCACCAAAGCTGTGGCCAGGTGCGTTTTTTGAAGACACGGTCCTAACTCCGGGAGCTTACTTCAGAGGAGCCATTCTGGGAAACGAGAGAGAAATACAGCCCCTCGGTGCAGCGTAGCTTTCTGCAGCATGAACTAGAGTCCGTTCGCTGTACGAGCTCACGTTCAATTTATAGCTAATGTTATATGAGCGTATGAGAGCGCTCTCCTTGCTGGATTCATCCCCTATCCCCACGGGCAGATCACAGCAGGAAATTATCGCCAGGCATCTCGCTGTGAGCAACCTCCTCGTTTCACAGCTACGCCATGGCTACTATTTGAAGGCATTAAATCCGAGCTAATTCACACACAGCCTGTTGGAAGGATTAATATTCCCACTGAGCGGCAGTTCACGGAGCATCCCCATGCTCCTCTCCTAGACAGGTAGCGCCGCGAGCCAACACCGGCCCGGCAACGCCCCACGGCCAGAAGGAAACCAAAGCGGCCCCGAAGGGAAGCAACTCGCTTGTGGTTTTGAAGCCACTTGTGCACACGTGCTTTACTATCCAGGGGCGAGGGGGCTGCGAGCATCTCTCCTGTTCGACACATGGCTCCGCTACGGCCTTTTGCGATTTCACGGCAGCACCCGTGTGGGAAAGGGATCTTTCCTCTAGGTCTGCGGTTCCCAAAGTCTTTGTACCAACAGCTCAGCGTCAACATTCAAAAATCATTTTGCGAAAAATTAGCGCATCTCTACCTGATACTATGAACCGAAGCCATGGTTTAACATGCAAACTTCCTACTCTGGGTCACTCTCTGGAATAACGAGAGTTCATTTTCCACAGGGATTTTCAAAGATGCTCTGGGTTGCTCTCTGGAATAACAAGAGTTCGTCTTCCACAGGGATTTTCAAAGATGCTCTGCGACGCCGCCCCAACCCCTGCCTGGGGCAGGAGAGAAGGGGCTTCCCTCGCACCAGCAAGAACCCACCCCAAAGCCGGGGGCTTTTTAAGAGCAGCGCCGGCTCCCC